ACTATTTAAAAGAACACTGACTTCAAAGTCAAGGCCTCAGACATTAGGAAATACCAGAATTAAGATTGCTTGTACAATGTTCGGTCAGCCCCCTTGTGCATATGCAACATGATACAATCTTTAATACAGTTATCACATACTCTTTCCATAGGACCTTTGCCTCATTCAATGGAAGAGCATTATGTACAATTTAAGAATGAACTGAAGACATTTAAAAAAAACCTCCCCCAAAACAGGCCTATAAAAATATTTGCATAGATTAAAACATTACAAACAAGATTTCCCCTCTAACAACTCAGACTGGCAATGTAAAAAACAGTTCATAATTACTTTTCCTTCATGCTCATCATTTGGCATCACTGTCAAAACTTACTGCCCGAGACCCTACTCCTGTACTTGACTCTGCAATAAAGTTAATGCGTCTCTGTGCAGGTGCAGGGCCTATCCCTGTAGAAACAAATTGCAGGATTAGGGCCCAAATTAACATACAAGCCTATTTTACCAAAAGCAAGAAAAGCACCATTTAAAAAGTGAAAATGTTTGTATTCACATTAGGTGATACTTTACTAACAACTGGTCACTTTCAAATTATTTAAATTGCTATACAAGAAGCTATTTAAGTCTATTGATTTAACCATTTTAAATAGAAAATTAGAATTAAAAATAGCTCAACTGCAATTGAATTACTATTTAAAGCCAGGTTTCAGAGTAGCAGCCATGTTAGTCTGTATTCACATAAAGAAAAGGAGTACTTGTGGCACCTTAGAGACTAACCAATTTATTTGAGCATAAGCTTTCGTGAGCTACAGCTCACTTCATCGGAGCATCCGATGAAGTGAGCTGTAGCTCACGAAAGCTTATGCTCAAATAAATTGGTTAGTCTCTAAGGTGCCACAAGTACTCCTTTTCTTTTTATTTAAAGCCAGTACTAGGCTAACAAGTTGGGTTTGGGGTTTTTTTTTGTTTTGTTTTCTTTTGTTTTTTAAAGGCCTAAAACTTGTGCTATAGGTGGAAGGATGTGGGTGACCGCCCAGGTCAACTTGCAGGATCAAGGCCTTTAATGCATGTTTCAACAATACTTCATATTTAGTAAGATTGAACTTTATGGTTTATATATATATAGGACCAAAGTGTATTAGTGGGCGTATCTTGAGAGTGTGGTGGAAATGTTATCTTTCTTCATCAAGGGGGCTCACCCACCTTTAGACAAATCATTTCATGATTTAGGTGATGCTTTTGGATCCGATTGCTCCTGAGTTCTCAGGTGCCACTGGGAGCAAAAAAATTTGTTGTACGTGCATCTGTAAAGGCTATTGTGATAATGTCTCTTTGATGTAAAGCTTGCTGCAGTTATCCATGCATTTTTAACCCTAGTTGGCTCACTGAAATATGCTCTATGGCAAGTTTGTTCCTGAGTGGCTATAGCCTGAGCAGAATTCAGCTAGTCTTAAAGCTCAGTAGGCATCCATATGGGTACACCACATTTTCTGTATAAAAAGAATTGAGAAAACATACAGTTTAGAGTTATATAATAATCAGCAAAACCCTTCAACAAATAATTCTGTAGTTATCATGTATTTCTATTCCCCATAGAATTAAAAATATATTTTCCAGACAAAATTAGGGAATCTGTAGTTTATGCACAAACACCAATAATGTAAACAGGCCTGGCAAGATTCAATTTCAATCATTGGTTTCTGTAAATGTTGATTTCACCTGACACACAGAAATTGACAATGAAAAAAAAAAATCCACCCATTACAGTCAGTAAGTGCAGCCTCCCCATTCATCTAGCTAGCACCTACAGAGATCAGGCATCACTGAACCTGTGGCTATGCAGGGAACCCTGTGCAGCCCCACTATCATGGCTCTACTCCCTCACCATGGGAGCTGTACCCGGGCAGGAGCCATTCAGCAGGAGGGTGGACTCTCCCGTAACTGGGTGGTTCGTTGTCCTCCTCACAGCTCTGGCCTGGGGTCTCTGTGCCACCAGGTCTCTGTGTCTCCCCTGTACCTTGTTCTCGGGTGTCTTGGACCCCTTGCCTTCCCAGAGAGCTCTCTGAAGTCCACTGTCAATACTGGGAGTCCCTTTGCTGTCAGAATTGCCCTAACCCTGAACCTCCCTTAATTTCCCCACAAATGTACATATTAAAAATAGTTAAAAAACAGAAAAAACCCTGAAAACTAAGAATCAATATTAAGTCAAAATTACAAAATACAAAAATCAAAGTCTGCCAAGCTTACTTATAGTCTAGCTATGGAATGCCAATTACACATGCACAATGAAAAGATAAATATGGGCAAATTCCATTTACCTGAACCTTTTAGTTCAATACTTGCCGTTATCCAAGTCTTGGTTAAATCCCCTGGTGTGAATCACATACTCAATACCTCTCAACTTTCCACTCCTCCCCCTTTTTTCCTAAGGGATTTTATGTTCACAAAACATTTTGAATAAATGTAGTTGTACTGTATAAAAAACACACGCATGAAACATTTGTGCAGTAGGCACTTTGATAAATCCATTGCTTAGAATGAGTACTGAACTTTCACCTGTCAAAATTCTGCCCTCACTTAGACCTGTGCAAACCCAATGAGTTGTACCAGAGGGCAGAATCTGGCCTTGCATATTCTATTGTTTTAATAGCTGTGAGAAATATGTAGAAACTTTGAACTGAACTGTCTAGAAATATAACTTTACATAAAAACAGTTCTAAAGATCAAGGCATCCTTGTTTACCCATGTAAGAAATGTACTTAATATCTGATAACTGTATTAGTATGTGCTGCAAACAGATGGCAGCAAGTCAGCTCAGTGGCACCAGAGAGGTGATTAGAGCAGGACACAAGTCTATGCCAGGCATCTGCACTTTAAAAGGTGAATGATAAAATCCACTTGTAATTTAGCAATTAAGCAAGTTAGGGTCTGTGTTGAAAAAGCTAAAAAGGATTGGTGATGGACAGGATAGAAATGTAGCTTGCTATTAAGAATGTTAATCACCACCACTGCTTTATATCTTAGCAACAAACATTCCAGCATCTCTCACTCTAAAGAGAATTTTTAAAATTTAAATTATGGCTCATATTGCAAAGATTAACAGACTTTTTGGTGTGTTAAAGCACATTCCATTGCATGTGCGAGAAGACAGAGGAGACAGTGGTGGTAAACCAAAGCTGCTCTGCCTGTATGGGCTGCAGAAACACTTCAGACCTTTGGGTCTCATTTCTCCACATCAGGAAACAGAGCAGTCCCAAAGCAGCAGCAGAGATGGGACCTGCTAAGACAGCAGAAAAAGAAGAGAGAGTTATCCTTTAGTGTTCTGTCTGCCTTCAGACAGCAGTCACTATGCTTACAAGCACGATGCATTTACTATACGCTCATATCTGCAATGAGCTTTTTCTTAAAAATTCCCACGGCTGTTGTACCACCAGCATAACTCTACCAATGATAGCACTAGCACAGACCGGTTGCCACTATATTACCTCCGTGTTGTATATACTGGTCTGGGCAGGCCTAGACCACACTGTGATAAAAACACCAACAGCCAGTCAATACTAATGCTCCTGCCATTGTTATCAAGGGTAAACCTGCACAGGTGCTACAGTACTAGTGAGAGAATTCAAGGGGAAAAGGTGCAAACAAGACTGCTGTCTCTCTAAGTAGGAACAAACTGGCTCTTGTAGCCATATCTTGTGTCCTGAGTGGTAGTGAAGTAGAACTCTCGAATAGAGCTCTGCATGGATACAAAATTTGTATCTGCATCAGAGCTGCAAAAATGGTCCGCAGATATCTGCAGATTTACAGGGCTCTACTCATGAACATGCAGCATTTCTAATCTCACCTGTAAGTAACACGCATCATAATGAAAAGCATAATAAAACAAACAAAAAAAAAAAGACCGTTTTACATTCAGACAGCATGGCTTGTCCCGACATATTCAAATAGCTTGAACAGTTTCAAGGAACTATAAAGGAACTGATTTGCCTATCAATAAAGTGCTGCCATCTCTGGAATGCAATCCAGCATTAATTCTGTGCTATTGAAAGCACACCAGTTGTTAGGAAGAGAGGCAAAGAATTATTTTCTCTACTGAAAGTAAAGTTCAGGTGAGAAGTTGGTGAGAATAGCCCTGCTTCATATGAAAAGTGCAATGAAAGCTTTAATAGCCGCATGCAGCCAGGACCTCTGTGAAAGTCTCAACATAAAGTCAGTACTTCCACCAGCACAGTAACTCCTATTAGTATGCGGAGGCACTGGTTCAACACTGTCTTGATGACAAGAGTACAAGAGATAGTTACAGTGGTCTGATAGTCAGGATTTACTACGTTCTAAGGAACCAGTGAGAGATTTAAAATCCAATTATTCGGTTAACAACGAAGGCAGGCAAAAAAAATCCCATTTTCCAATAATACAACACTAGTACTTTATGAGATACTGCTAATTAAAAATCAATTATTTGATTACCAGTTACTGTCTTCCCTAAATTTAGTGACTGTCATAACTGTTAAAACTAAAATCTATTTTCCATACCATCTTAACACAGCTGGGAATCTTAGCTTCTACATGAGGATGAGTTATTTTTCAACCCTAGAAGTGCGTAAAATATCAGATTCTCGAACTATCCCATAAGTGGAAGTGGAGTGGAAGTGGAAGTGGAGAAAGCAAGGGAGCAATCAGAATTACCTAATTTAAAACAGGAATGCCACCTAGTTCATTTTAAAAGGTAAATGATTTACATAACCGAATTTTAAACTTTGTTATGCTTCTGAACAGTTCTGCAAAAACAAAGAATTAGTATATCCCAACTACCATGGTTCCTTCAACCAAAAGAAGTCTTAGAGGCTCTTTGAGTCCCATTCTGCAACTGTGTCCATGCACAAAATGGTCTCAAATGGCCTGGAAAAAAAAAGGAAGGAAAATACACTGTAGCACCTATGGAAAAAGTTGTCAGGAGATTAGGACTCAAAATATCTGTCTTTACTGAGAGTGGAAACCACAGGAAGAGAAAAAATAGCAAAGATCTTTATTTAAGTTTAGTGGAACTATTCATTGGTATTTCATAAGAAAACATTCAACAGAAAAAGCAGTGGAAAAAGTCACCCGCCCTGGAGATCAAGGTAGATGAGTATAAAGTGATTTCGAGGGGAGGCAAACTTTCCCCAAGTATCAATCCTGGGCCTGTGATCAGTTCCTGAGCTGCCACATGCCGAGGCGCGGCGTGTGCGAAGGAGCAGCACCTGCTGGAGATGGCTCGTTGGATTAGGCACACGGTATTTGAGAAACTTGGGCCATGGGTGGAGGGGTTACGGCAGCCCCAGAGCGCTATTTGCAGAGCCCCTCTAGCCGCTCCAGCGTGCCCTTCATGTCACGGATGCGCCTGGCCAAGGCCGGCACGGGCTGCATTGCCAGGTCCAGCTCCTCGCACCGCGCCACCAGCGTGTACATGGCTCGGATGCTGGTGTCCACGGCCTCGCCCAGGCTCTCCACGCCGTCGCGGTAGGTCTGGATGCAGCCCACGCTCAGGGCGGTCAGGGCCTGCAGGCCGCAGTGCACGCTTCGCAGCAGCTCATCCACCTGCGCGGCCACCTGCCCGGCCAGCGCCACCAGCTCCCGCAGCGCCGCGGGGTCTACGGGGGGGATGGGGCTGGTGGCGCTGAGCTGGATCTTCCGCTGCAAGTTGCTGGCTACGAAGTGGGTGAGGAGGCCCTGGCGGCGCACGCTACCCTCCAGCTCCAGCGCGCTGGCGATGGTGGCTCTACGACCCCCCCGGCTGCCGCGCCGCCGCGCCGGCCGCTCCGCCCTCCAGGCTCAGCGCCTCCAGGCTCCGCTCGGCCCCGAGTCGCTCCTGCTCCCCAGGTCCCTCTGCTTCCGCGGGAGGAACGCGGCGCCCCTCCGCCATAACTGCCGCCGTGCCGCTTCCTCCTCCCCCCACGGCGCCCGCGCCCGCGCCCGCTAGGACCTGTAACGAGAAGGCGCGCGTCGCCCCAATGATTATGCCTCTCTTGATTGGCTAGAGTGGAGGAAAAGGGCGGAATCCATTCTGTTTATGTCCCATCCGATTGGCAGATGCTTACCAAAAGAGGACGTGACTCGTTCTGCTTATCGGTTTCCGGATTGGCCTATTCTGAGGGCAGGGGGCGTGCCGCATTGCGTTTGTCTCTCTTCTGATTGGAGGCGATGTGAAGAGGGCGCGCCCTGCAGTGTTTGTGTCTTTCTGGATTGGCCAGGGCGGGCCTATTACGGCTTCAGTCTCTTCGGATTGGTCATTGCCAGAGAGAGGCGTGTCATTCGCTGTGCCCGGCTGTGTGGATTGGTGCGGCGGCGGAAGAGGGCGTGTGCCTCTGGAGTAACAACAGTAGGGCGCTGCTCGCCGTTCCTCTCACTCCCCCGCCATGTTCTCTTAGCAGCGGATCTGGGATTTCACCACCATCGAACCCTACAAAGTCTCTGCGGCCACTTCCCGGCGCCTTCCTCTCTCCCACTGCGCAGCTCCGAACCCCCGACTCCCGCCATGGTCACCACCACAGCGCCGCCACCCTTCCTGGCCCGGCTCCCGGCAGGCACCGAGGACTCCCGGCGGCTACCCCCCAGCCTCTTCCAGCGCCTCATGCGGGGGGACAACAGCTGCGAGAACCAGCCCAGCTGCTGCCTGGCGGGGACGGGGGGCAGCGCGCGGCCGGCGCTGAAGCGAGTGAGGCGGAGAAAGGGAAAGATCCGGCCCAGCCCTTCGGGGCTGCTACCGAGCCGCTACCAGCAGTACCAACAACACCGCGCTGGCCTGGGCAGAAGGGCCCCGCTGGGAGCCCCCGGCGCGGGAGACGTTCACACGCTCCCAACGCCAGCTGTTCCCACCGCCCCGGCCGAGGAGCCCCCCACATCGGCCCCTCCGAGACCGGCGCCCAGCAAGCCCCTCAGGAAGGAGGTATGGGGAGGGTTCGGGCTTCGTGCTGCGGGGAGCGGTTCCCCTTCTCGCCCCGTTTCGGGCGGTGGGGGGAGGGGAAGTTTCCGTTACGCTCGCTCTCCCTCGGGGCAGGGGAGAGGTGCCGCTCGCGCTGATTGGTTCTGGGATTCCACCAATGGGGTTGGCGGCTGCGCCCAGCAACAGCCGGATTTAGCCTGGTGGCCGCGCGCCCGGGGGTGACGTGTGCGGAGTGCAGCGCCCCATGGAGGCGCCCGGCTGCCACGGTCACTACAGCCGCGCCCCCGCCGGGATGGGGGGGCGCTCGGCTCCTGCGCTGGACGTAGGGTGACCAGATGTTCCGATTTTATAGGGACAGTCCTGATTTGGGGGGGGGGTCTTTTTTTATATACACCTATTACCTCCCCCCGGTCCCGATTTTTCTCACTTGACATCTGGTCACCCTAGCTGGACGGGGTCCGGGCTGGGGCGAGGGAGAATCCCCCCAGAAGCGCTCTGGGCTCCCGGGGACTCCTTCACCCCGTCCAGCTCGGGGAGTGGGAGGGAGTGACAGAGAACGGTAGGGCGATAAGAGGACATCGCTTCTCCTGGCTGAGCGACCGGACGGCACGTCGCCTGTGCCTGCTCTTTGGCGGCCGAGTCGTGCATTATTTGAATGTCTGTCTCTGTCTTTGCAGCTCTTGAAGAACAAGATGGGCAAGTCTGAGAAGGCTCCCACTCCCCACTGCCAGCCTGTTCACAGCTTACATCTCGGTGAACAGCCCAAGGGTAACAAACAGAAGAGCAAATGTAACATGCCACTCACAAAGATCGCATCTGTGAAAAAAGATGAAAGTAACTTTTGGCAACTTTCTGTGTCACCTGAGACAATTGAAAAGCAGGAGAAAACGCCACTTAATAACACTGAGGACTTCAGAAACATAAAATCAAAGAAACCTGGTTCTCCAACTGAAGCAAACCAAAAAGAAAATTATGCTGGCGCAAAGTTTAGTGACCCGCCATCTCCTAGTGTCCTTCCAAAGCCTCCCAGTCACTGGGTGGGATGCACTGTTGAATATTCTGACCAAAATAAGGAGCTGATGGCAGTCCATTTAAAAACTCTCCTAAAAGTTCAAGCATAACTCGAGATTTATGGGCAGTTACAAAGAGGACTCCATCCAGGAAATTGAAACTTGCCTTGTTGCAACATGAAGTATAAAAGGACTGTCAAGTCTTATAATCACAAACTTTTGTATTATATTTTTTATGGCTGTGTAAATAATGTACATCATGTAATATGTGTATATTCTTGTTCATACTTTGAGAGGTACATTTTAGTTTTGTTATGAAAGGATGTATTTTGCACTGCCCAAATGGTAGGTGTTTTGTATATAAAATATGGACAGCTTTAAATGTGTGCTTGACACTTGGAAAGACTTGACTAATTTGCACGAGGTAATGACATTTTGAAAGGAGAAAACGGCTCTTTAATCTCAAGATTCAGATTCAACTGTGAACAGCTTAATACACTACTGAAAAGTTTTGCAATCTGTGGCACAATCCATTGTAAACATGGAGTTTTCATCCAGATGTGAATTGTTGCTCTCTGCTCTGGCAATAATATCTGGAATTCTTGTTCATCCCTTTTACCAAGCTAATTTTGGAATTTGAGTAAAGAATCTAACCCATCAACTTGAGCACTGCTTACTTCCTAAAAAGGAGGAGCAGAGCTTTTTTGCCATAACTACAATTGGTTACTAAAAAAAAAAAATAAAAAATAATTTGGCCTCCCCTTAAGCATGTCTGTCTCTTGTGTGAATATATTATAGACCTAGAGGTTTTTTAGTTTTCATTAGTTTTGAAATAACATTTCAAGCTCTTGACAGCCCTTGTGCCAGGTACTTATTTATGCCAAATTAAACCTTAGTCAATTGTCACAACAACGATTAATTTGAAGTTTTGAAGGATGTGGTTTTAAAACTTCCTTCAGTTAAGTTTGAGAATTATAACTGTATTAATGCAACACTCAAACCAAGGCTGTTATCAATGTAGTAAGAACAGTCATTAAAAATTAGCTCAAATTAAAGAGCTCTGGTCTGAGGACAGTATGGCACTAAGAATAGTTTGTAGGTGACTGCTATCTCAAGCCAGGTAAGGAAGAGAATGGAATATCTTAAAGTCCTTTTATGATGGAAAATTTAATTTGTCCCCATTTGTAGGCACTTCTGAAAATTTCACCCACTGTTTATTCCTGTCCCCTGGTGCCTTGAATATACTAAAACAGTTGGAGATATAGGGGTCTGAAAAAGAAGTTCTACTGAAGGAAGTTGCAGTCTCAGTGGAGTAAAGATGTTTTACTCTTCACAGTAAGTTAAGGCTAACTGGTAAGCATGCATATGGGCTGTCTGCCGTTCAGCTTCCACTGCTGATACCACGAGATTCACTTCCCACAGTTACTGTGTTCTAAGAAAAAAGAAAAGGAGTACTTGTGGCACCTTAGAGACTAACCAATTTATTTGAGCATAAGCTTTTGTGAGCTACAGCTCACTTCATCGAATGCATCTGATGAAGTGAGCTGTAGCTTACAAAAGCTTATGCTCAAATAAATTGGTTAGTCTCTAAGGTGCCACAAGTACTCCTTTTCTTTTTGCGAATACAGACTAACACTGCTGCTACTCTGAAACCTGTGTTCTAAGATTTTGCTCAGAATAACAATACTAGTTAAAATGATTCTGAACTTCTGAAAAGTTTAGAACTAAGTGGGGAAGAAAAGGAAATTCCACTATTTCATTTAAGGAAATAAGCATTAAGATAAAAGTTCCTTTTATACTAGTATTATATTTAGCTATCTGTTCTGAACTGATATAGTAGAACTTCAGTTTTACAAATAACCAGTTCTATGAACCCTTTTTCCCAATTTGGGAGCTGGGAGGGAAGAGAATTATATAACAAAAGGGAACAATGAATAGGTCTACATCTTTCCAGATTCTGAAGTCTTCAGTACATTGGAAGTTGGCTTGAAGGACAAGAAGAAAGTGATGTTGCATAGCATATTCCATTTATATGCTGTACCTATTCTGTTAAGATGTAGAATTTTATGAACTCCATCCCCCAATTAATTCATATAATTAAATAAATTGAGTAGACCCAGTCCTAGGACTTCGTCACTTTCAAAAATTGTCCCTCTGTCCTGTAATTGTCACCATACATTTAAGAATAAATGTATCGCTTTAAATGTTGCTATAAAAGCACATTTAACTCAGTCCAATTTACTGTGTAATCTAGGTTGTTTTATATAAATGACTTGTCTTTATTTGTCATGCCATCAGTTTGTCATCTGCAAACTTTAACAGCTGTGACTTAGCCTAAGAAGATTTCTTTAGGACTCCACTAAAAATGTCCCTAGAGCCACAACTACTTGTTGAGATCAGCCAGTTTTCATCCATTTAAGAAATCAATGAAGCACTTTAAAATCTGAATGTCCTGGGATACTAAACCAACCACCTTAGAGAAATCTGTCAGTTACCTTTGTCAACCAAACTTTTAATCTCATCCAAAAGTGATACCAAGTTTGACAAGTGATTTTCCATAAATCCATGTTCATTGCCATTAATTATGCTGCCATCTGTTAATTCTTTACTAATTGTATTCTTTATCAGCCTTTTCATGATTTTACATGACACCAATGTCAAGCTATCTGGCTTTGTCCGCCATCTACACGTTTTTGACTAGATATACTATTAGCTCCCCCACCCCTCCATCCTCTGGAACGTTTGTACCCTTGGGTGTATTTAAAAAAAAAAAAAATCAGACATAGCTATGATTGCAAAACTCCCAGCATAGACACAGCTCTGTCTTTTCTGTCAGCATAGCTAATATCCTTCAGGGAGCTGGTGTTATGCTTCCAGAA